ACTGCCTTCTGTGGGTCAGAGGGAGATCTTCCCTCCTGATAAAATACAGTAAACAAAATTATAATAATAAAACGCTAATTTAATTTTAAAGAGGGTTTCTCCCCCCCCCACCCCCCTTAATAGGGAGTTGTATTGTTACGGAGAGAACAGTTATGCTAATGATAGACTACTTAGTTGATTTTACTTTAATATGGTAAACATTACCTGTCTTAATGTGTTGTACTGTATTATGGCAAAATAAGTCTAAGAGTGAGATTCCATTTTGTATAACGAAGCAGCACTGCAGTTTCTGCGTGAATAATTCTAACAGCGGCGTTTTGTTGTTGTTATTTTGGAGGATGAAATATTATGTCGGAAATGTTTTAGTCTCGGGATGGGAGCAGGTCCTGCCTTCAGCACTTCTTATTTTGCTGGGCTCTGCTCTGGCTTGTGGCATCGTGCTTCTCTGTTTGCCAGTGTATCAGTGGTTTATCTTTTCCTGTGGCATGAGCAAAGCTGTTTTGCATTGTTTTGGCTGAGATTTTTTTACATTTCAAATGTATTGCACCTAACAGCTTTCTAGTAAGACAGCTCAAGTTAATGGTTTGGTTTTTGCCTAGCCGTATCTATTTTTATTTGTAGCCCAGTATTTTTAACCGTTCCTCAGCTACTTGCTCTTTCTATGTTCACCTGTGTTTTGCTCTGTTTAACTTTTATCACAAAATCTTTAAGTGAAGGATTGCTGTTTGGAAATCCAGGGTGCCTGGTATGGGGTCTTACCGAAATCAAGTTTGAACATACATCGCAGGAGAAAAGGCTTTTCTGGCAGAGTTATTCTTTATGAATTAAGGAAATCCTCCCCGTCTTCCATGCATGCCTGCTAACAGTTAACAGGACCACAGCCGTATCCAACATCAAAGGCACGTTGTGTGAAAATGGCATTCTTTTTTTTTCACTTCATACAAGATTAAACTACTTGAAATTATTTAGCTAGTATTTAATTATATTAATATCACTGAAAATGGGGGAATGGAGATGATTAAATAGGACTAAATCATTTTCATCCCCGTGACCCTTGTCTGGGTTGTATGGAGGAGTGACAAATGCATCTCTGCTGTAACTCCGTTGTGAAGTTAAAGGTGAACTTGGCCCAAGTTTGTGGAAGTTTTTTCCTTCGTCAGTCTCGCCAAAATACAGTGTGTTTCCAAAGCTGGAAACTGGGGGTAGCGGAGGGGACTGCGGGGGACGGGAGGGCTTTGGGGGATGCGGAGGAACAGCAGGCAAAACCCTGGGAGAAATAGTGTCTGAAAAAAACAATTGTGAGTATTAAAGACATTTTTTGCCGTTGATGGTATTAGCATGTCAGCAGGTCTATACTAGCACAGCTCCGAAAGCCAAATTGCAGCTGTATTTTTACCTTTGCTGCCAGGTTTACATGCAGCTGGGTATCTACCACACCCTATTGTTATCAGTCAACAATACCAAAAGTAGTTCATTAATCATATCAATAGCAACAATCGTGTTTCATGTGGAAAATAGAAATAAACAACTTAAAGAAAAGGCTGATTTCTGCTCTGCATGCTAACTTAGCATTCTTTAAATGTATCTGCCAGTAGTTTAATTTGAACTTCAACTCCCTGAAGGCAGTAAGACAGAATTATTTTAGTTCTTCATAAACTGCCTTCTGTGATTCATTGTTAACTCATAAAACACGCTCATTTTCATGTACTTAAACAGTTAAGCCATTTTTAAAGTTGGTTTGTAATTTTTTTTGGCAACACATTTAAGTTGACATCTGAGAGATAGAAATCTAAAATGAATTTATAGCCCTCAGTTTAGTTTTCATTTACTATCGGACAAAATATCAGAAATAAATATTTTTTATCTAACGTAATGTAAAGTATATTGCACAGTATCTAAAATAAAGTTTAGTTTTGACTGAATACACTCAAAAAGGGACCCATAAATATTAGAGAGCCGTAGTTAAGAACTTACATGACTGTTTTAAATACTATTGATTTAAACCACTGGCTAGATTTTATGAATCAAAGTGTAATTTCCAAGCTTTGGCTATATTTCTCATCGCTAAAGCACTCTCTCTTGTGTGCCTTTAGCAGCTTTCCAGACATTCAACACGGGATTAAATGATAGTAGTTACAATGATCAATAGGTTAAGACCGGTACAATCACTCTTACCGCTAATGACCTCGGTAGTAATGGGTAATAAAGTGTGGGCTATAATAGCCTATTGCTGGTGCTGCATGCCCTTTGATTCCTAGTATTACCAGGGACTAGCTACATGAAAAAGTTGGACGTTGGGAGTTAAGAGAGTGGATATATAGGCCATCATTCTTAACTATTTAAAGCCCTCAAACTGTACGTGTGCCCACGCTTGTCTGGGGCGTGTGTGTTGTTTTTAACACGGTAGTTTCTGGTTTATTTGAATTTGTTTGAAAAGGCTTCCGTAAGTTGCTTTCGTGATAAGCTGAAGCACAAACTTTGGCTAAATGTGGCTGTTAGCTGTGTTTATAAATGGAAGGCAGGACCTTCTTTAGAGGCGCAGATGTGGTGTGAAAATGTGGTTTCAGATAGTAAAATGAAGTTGAACGGGTCAACACAAACTTGTACTCCTAGGTATGCCATATATACATATATATATATAAAAAACATTTTTTTTTTTTCCTTTCTGGTTAAGTGCTTCTGTTCTAGCAAAGAGTGCGCAGCTAGGAGATTCTTCACCAGAAGGTACATGGCCAGTTTTCAAAGGTAGGGCCAAATCCTTAGATTTATCCCAAGATAAACGTGCAAAAAAGCCATGGAAGTGAATGGGAGTTGTCTCTGCATAGCTGACGGCAGAATGCGGCCCTTCGTATTAATCACCGATGTGTAGGGTTTACAGCACCCCACCCTATTCCTGTCTGTATCCCTGCTTGTCGTCATAAATCTGACTGAAGAGTATTTGTGTTGTCTGTCTTCCAAGAAGGGCACAGAAAACATACTTAAACATGCTTCCTTTTCTGTTTGCTCAGTCCAACTTCAATGAGAAGTAGTACAAACCCGAGGGTAAAGTAAACTTCTCTAGGGATGAGAATAATGAAGGTGAGTCATGCTTCGGGGCGAAGATAGTGACGGCAGTATTTAATTAAATAATTTTCTACTCCCAGAAAGGTTTTTAAAAGACTACGGATTAAGATATTCTGAATTAATGGGATTACCCATCCTGGTGACTCAGTGTCCTCGGAGCCGGTCCTTCGTGGCCAGGCGGTGGCACGGCGCGGCGGCCAGCCGGCCGGTGGCTTTCCCATAGGCACGGGCAAGCCGCGGCGGCCACGGGAGAACGGCCGCTGGCTTTGGTGGGACGGGCATTTGACCTGTTATTAAATCTTCATTTGCCTGTGTTCACACCTGCCTGGACCACGTTAGATAAGTGGGAAGGCGCTGTGCCACGGGGAATGCACAGAGGACCTCGCCGTGTTTGCATTAATGGGATGTCGGAGGCGTGCGAGCCTGTGCTAGACTTTGCTCAGACAAATGTTTTCGAGGCAGTGTCTGGCCCTAGCACACAACATGTACACAACAACACGGGGAGATGTGCAGCGTACGTGCAGCTGACCTTCAGGAACCATTTTTAGTTCATCAAAATTAGTGATGCTGAGAAATCAGGACATCAGTGCATAATGACTGTGAAATTAGGAATGAGAGCTTGCTATGCAAATGACAGGACAAATCATGTGAAAAAGTCAAGATAAACTGCATATTAAGACATTATGTTACATAAAATTAATACTGCATTTCTCTCTTGCTTACTACTACACTGGAAGATTTTTTTTTAAACTCCTTTATCTTCTGATCAGCTATTGTCTGCTGATTTTTTAAAAAGTGGTGCACAGAAAAAGTGCTGAACATATTATTACCTTTTATTGTAATACATGAGATGACAGGAGATCCTTTTTAGCAAAGTATATCCTTTACTGCTTTTAGTTTTGTGCTGTCACGTATTTGATTTGAAACTATAGAAAAGTAAGGTGCTTAAATATTACTGTTAAAACTCATATGGGTTTTGTCTTTTCCTCTATTGTTTTTTTTTTTTTTTCCCCCTCCTTTTCTTTTCCTTTTTTGGGGTGGAGGGTAGAGGGGTGGGTTTCTAGGGAAATAGTCTTCTTGCATTACTAGGACTGACAAAATGGTTCTCATGTAGTCTGCAAATTAAACACAAGTGCAGTGATTATTTTGAATAGCTAAATTACATTCTAGAAAGCTTGCAGAATTCATAGCATTGTCATTAGGTATCCGCTTGAATACAATTTGTGTAACCTTGGCCAAGACAGCCTGTCATTTTAATGTCAGTGTTTTATCTGAACAAGACATCATCCTTTCAGATACAGTGTACAGGTTCCTTGCAAAGATGCCCGTGCAGAAACGTGTTAACAGTTGCAAATATGAAATGCTATCAAGTTCATCACTGTAGCTGTTTGTCACTGAAATGTCATGGAAAGCGGCTTTTAATGGTATCTCACATAATATGAAAGAATTGAAGACATCTGTATGCTGGGTGAATATGGAATGGTAAAGACATCGTGGTAGGGCCTTTCTGTTAAAATTGCATAGGAGTCTAGTGCTGTTATTCACATCACTGAGCCTTCCTTCAATTTTCTTCAAAACCTGTCGTAATAGGGTCTAGATCCCATCAGCGTGGGATACTCGGCTGCTGGATTTCTGTACGGAAGGCAAGGGCTTTCTGGGAGGGAGAGGACCCAGTTGATGGCTTCTTGTAAAAATAAATAAATCTTGCCAGGGTTTACCATATTGCTTGCTTTAAAGAGTTTGCGTCGCAATACTGTTTTGCAAAATGGGAATTTAGTCGCCAGGAAAATGCGGTCGGTACCTCCGTGCCTGCTGCGGTGGGCTGTAAGGACACTCTCGCCTTCAGCACCCTCGATGCCAGGCGTGGGCGGTGGGCGGCACGGAGGAGCTGCGGCGGTGCGCTCTGACCCCCTCTCTGCTCTCCTCTTGCGCTTCAGGTTCCAGTGTCGGTGGCTATGATGACACCTCAAGTGATCACTCCCCAGCAAATGCAGCAGATCCTCCAGCAACAAGTGCTAACTCCCCAGCAACTCCAAGTCCTGCTCCAACAGCAGCAGGCACTCATGCTTCAACAGGTAATTGTTTTCTTAACAGCTGCTCAGGTGGCCCCTACAGATACCGGAGGGTTTCGCCTCCCGAAATGTTCCTGGGGAAAGAAGCTGCCCACGTCTCGGGTCGGTACCTCGGAGCAGCCGTGCGCTGAGATGAGCTGACTGCTCCTTTGTTTTTAATTCTAGAAATAGCTACTGGAAACAAATCCAGGGAGCAGTGCTAGGAGTGTTTCCAAGATCAGCTAAATAGTACAGATGCATATTTAAGTGTCAGGACTTCGGCAGATGTCCCTGTTGCTTTTGCCTGCGTCCCCCAGACAGCATGGTGTGCCCTGACTAATTGGAATAAACAAGGTAGCAGGGCGATACTTCCCATTTTAGACCTCGTTATGTCCATCTGGAACCGTAAAGGACTGTGGAAACGGTGGCAATAAAAGTGAAGAGGTTTGCAAGCCTTAATCTGTTTGATGTCAGCCAACATATGCCATGCGGCGTGTCGGTGTTTCTCACAGCCCATGGTCCTTTTTCAGTTGAGAGTTGGCCACCGACAAGCCCCGAGGCTCCGTTATCGTGGGGTACGGCACAGCGGGGGCTCACGAATCCCGGGGGGGGGGGGCGTCAGCATCCACCCCAGCCCGACCTTGTGTGCTCCCTGCTGGCTGCCACGCTCCCTCCTGCCCGCACCGGAGCGCTGCCTGCACGGCACGCATCTGGGGAGCGGGGAGGGGGAGAGTATTTTCCAGGATGTCTATGCATATATTGAACAACACTTAATACAGTCAAACCCTATCATTTAGAAAGCATGTGTGTTTCACAACAGAGATTCGCCAGGCTCTCTCAGCAAGGGAATTTTGGCTTTGTTGTTACAATCAAAGGTCATTCTTTGCCTTATTTTAATTAGTTTGTGTAGAAAATGGTATGTTTTTCATCAGTTCATTTTGGAGATTACTTTTCAAACGATAATGCCAAGAATAGTCAGTGTGCACTGAATTTATTGTTGAGTTTCAAACTAAAGGTCAGACCATTACAGATAAAAGGATGCTATTTTTCAAATCACAGTTTGTGTGTTACACCAAAAGGGACACTGAATTGGCTCTCCACTTTGTTACTTACCATCTTTCCTTTTCTTTGTAGCAGCAGCTTCAAGAGTTTTATAAGAAACAACAGGAACAGTTGCAGCTTCAACTTTTACAGCAACAACATGCTGGAAAACAGCCTAAAGAGGTACAGACAATACCCATTTTACTTTCAAACCACAGATCCCCGGGGACTGTCTAGTGGCTATTAAACTGTCATTCATCTTATAAATGATTGCACAACTGAACTGACTCTATCGGGTCTCAGCTTTCAGATTTAGAGTTATTGTCCTGTTTTCGCCTGTATTTTCCTGTGCTTTCCATTTGCTTGCTGCCACATATTTTATAGCAGGGGACCATGCCTTGATGTTCGGTATGAGTACTGGAGCAAGCATCTAGACTTGTATCTTGGGAGAGTGCTTTTGGAAGTTAGTTATGTTGTAAAGGGGAGGGGGCAAGGCGGCAGGCCCAGATACGGTGCTGCCCTCTCTAAACGGGGCAAGGTGCCAAGAGACGTTGAGTTTGGGCTTGCAGTTTCCAACCAGAGAGGTTCTGGTTGCGCGTTCCTCGCAGGACGGGCTTAGTGGGAGGGACCATACTGGACAGCATCGGTGGTGACACCGAGAAGCGAGGTCCGAGATGCAGAGGTAGTGCGGGAACGCTGCCTTTTCGCGGCGTGGTGTCGGGAGACCTCGCTCCGATGCCACCGCGGGCCGTGGCAGGAACGGGACAGGCCAGGGCGGTTTCTGCCCGTCCTTTACATACACTTTCCTCTCAAAATACCTGTCACGTCCTAAACTTTGTTGATTTTGCTGTGCTTAAATTTAATTTTGCTGTAATTACATTTACTTTTAAGGCACTGAGTTCACCCCTCTAGTCACAGAGAGTTTGAGACTTTCATGTTTAATCTGACATCACTGCTGGCTTAGGTAGATCCTAGAAAGCTGCCTCCTGGCACGAGACGCTGCGTGGTGTCCTGCGATAGCAGCAGCACTTGTACATCGCTTTGCAAGTGGCGCTGCTCGAAGCACGCACCAATTTCCGCCCCCCCCGCCCCCCGAAATTTCGGCAAATCGTGCCATCTGTGCCAAGTTTCAACCCAGAGTGAATTTTTCCAGCTGAGTTATAAACCCCTGAAAATAGGGGGGTTTATAATGGAAACGCTGACACAACCTTAACCATAGCACGCTTACGGGCGCCACTATAATAAAAAGGGAACAGATTAAAAAGTGTCTAAAATGTAAATCTAAAGGACTAACAGTAATTAAAATGGAAATGGCACAGGGAGGGAAGGCATGTAATTGTGAGATATCACTGTGCAGAATGCTCTCAGCTTTGTTTTGCTGGCTGTTTTTCTAATTCAGTAGGGCTTACTCATCAGTGGCAGTTCAATGCGCGTTAATGACTCTGGGATGCAGGCATCACTCTGGACAAAGAAATGATTATTGTGCGGTCAAAAGAAGTTCAAAGACAAGAAGGGAATTTCAGTTTTTTCCTTAGAGATCCACATTCAAGAGCATATAAATTAAGCCAAATGTTAAAAACCACAGTCTGAAAGCTGACTTCAAAGTCACAACTCTCTAATTAATGAACTGCGAGCTTCAGTTTGGACAAGTCGTGGTTTGATGCGCCCATAAATCAACATGACAGGTCTGTTTCACAGTCTCAGACAGCGCTTGTCATTGAGTCACATCAGATGTAAACACAGCAGAAAAAAGAGGGAATATGAAGGAGGTGCAATTGATCAACAGAATTGGTAAAAACCCACTTTTGAAACGCATTATGCATGATCACAGGAAATGGCGATAGCCTCAAGAGGCTTTCTCCTTCTGCTGTTGCTTTTTTGAATCAGATTTCTAACAGCCTTCAAAAGGGAGAATAAGAATTATGGAGCTTCTCCCCTGTGGCTGGCAGGCAATAACCCCCTGTTGTTATTTTGTGCTTCTTTCTTTTCAAAGGCGTCAAAATTTAGTTTTTTAAAGATCTTTAACTCTATATTTGAAGACAAACAATAAAGGGCTGCCACTGTCATTCTTATCAGTTACCAGGGATTGTATTTTTTCTTTCTGTTGCCACTTCTTATTAACCTCTTATTTGGTCTATTAGACATAGTTTTGAATGCAAGCCTGCATGCTGGGAGAACATGAAAGTTCAGATGAGCTCAGAGGGCAGATAAAGAAATTTGAAGGGGAAAGTTACACAGCAGAATGAACGATAAAAGTTAACTCTTCTAAATTGCTGTTGTCAGACAGGAGAGCATCTCAGACACAAAGATGAGGGCTTGGAGCTTAAAGGAAAAAATACTTTGTGTTAAAAAAGACGAGAAGGGAAGTTAGACAATGTGATGGCATTTCAATATCTAACACACTGATTTACTGTGGTCACACTTCTGATACTACGCTATCGAAAGCAACAATAAGAAAGGACTCCTTCCTGTTTCAAGAAGAGCATTTTAACACTATATCTGTTAAGAGAACAAGGGGCCTAAGTCTCTTCAGCTTTTTCTAGGGGTTGGGGGGGGTATTTATGCTGATGGTTTTAGTAGAGGCCCGTTTCAACAATGCGTTTCATCCCGCAGGTTTGTTCAGCCCCGTTTTTCCTGCCTTAAAGAGGTTATTCTTGCTGAATTAGCATGCATACTGGCGGCTTTTTGGCCCCCCCCCCCCTTCCTAAAAACTTATGGTCGGGTCACATGGCAAACGAGGGCCGAGTTTGTACCTCGACAGATGGAACAAGTGTATTCATGTACTGCATCCCCCAAGTCATTTTGGTTAGTGCCTTGTCCTATTGTACCGTCGTGAAAGAAGAAGAACACAACAGCTCTCCCAAGCTCCGCTGGTAAAAGGGGTCCGACCCCCACGCAGGGTAACAGGCGGACCCCAGTAAGGTTTCTGGTGGGTTCTACTCAAGGGCCGCGCGGCGTAGCAGAGGGCGAGCGTTGCACAGCGCCCATTAGCAGGAGCAAGAGGCGCCGGGGCCGAGACCTCAGCCCTGCGTCTGCGGGGCTGCCTCTCCCCCGGCAAAGTCGGGTCTCACCGAGGGAAGAGGGGGGCTTTAGAGCCGCAGAGGGATCCCGCTTGGTGCCGTGGCGTGGACGGAGCGGGTTGTTTTCCGAACAGGGCCGTTTGTCCTCCGGCAGTTGTGACAGTTTATGTTAGGCAGTAGGGAGTAACCTAAGAAAGGAAAACAGACCTTTGACAGAAGCTTTAGGGAGGGGATCAAAAATGCAAGTTTTATCAGGATATTTCGGCATTTTAACACTGACTACTGACCTGACAACAGGACTGCACTGAGACCTTTTTTGTATGCATTCAATTGTGAGAAGTAAACAAACTGCCTTGTATCCTGTGTTTGGTAACTGGGTGGGGAGCGCAGTTTGGCAACGTGTCTTGCTTTTAAATTCTTTCTTGGACAATGGGCCTTGTATACTTTTATATCCTGGCTTTTCAAAGTAGAGAGCGTTCAAGAGCTTTTCTTAGGATAGCTGAGAAGACAACTGAACGGGCATCAGTCGATTTATAGAAAGGTTTCTGGTTGTTGGTTTTTTTGTTTTGTTTTTTTTTTTTTAAAAGCTAACTTTACACTCAGATGGCAAATAGATAAAACAGCTTACTGTAACTAGATTTTTATGTAATACCATTTAAAATACATATATAAATATATATTAAGTATATCGATATCTAGGAAGTGAATATTTATGGAGGCAAACATTACTTCAAGTCTTAATATAACTGTTGCTGGGGTTTGCATTCATCTGGTGCTGTTGCAAATAGTTGAGCAAGTGGATCTGTCTGAGCAAGCTGTTGCAAAGAAATGAAAACTCTCCGAGTTTCAGAATATCTAAACACCTATTTGTTTAACTGTGTTCTCGAAGTCCCGGATTTTCTTTGGAAAGAAGATAAATTAACTTCCCTGACAGTACAGTCGTGGATATACCATTGGTTGCAGTATTAAGGTTGATGGGGCATGCTGGTACAAGAAGGCGGGGGCCAAACCCCTGGCTGGTGTCCGTCAGTCCCGCTCCTGCAGCTCTGGTGGGTTTTTTTCCCCTGCTTGACACCAGCAGGGAATGGGGCCAGTGATCCTCCGGCTCGGTGTCGAGGAAGGGCGACAGAAAGGTTGGGATCTGGCTGGGGTTTGTTTGTGAAAGTACGCAGTTTTGTAAGAGTTAATTTTCTTTCCGTAATTGTTAGCCATAATGTGTATAAGACCTCCACCTTGGTATGATTCCTAGCAGATTAGGGATATTAGATAATTTCCTTCTATTTATTGTACTACTGCACTGTATTATCTTTCTATCACTCAGATAATTACTAAGGAAATCTACATTAATTTTTTTTGGCTAGCACAAGGAACTGCTAAACGCTGGCATGATGTATTGATGTTTTACACAACAAAAGTTTTCCTCCTGTCATTGTACAATAAATAAAAAGATATTTATCAAAACGCAAAGCCTTTCATGGATTTTAAAGAACAAAGCAAATAAAATAGAAGATGAGCATGGAAGCAAAACCTAGAGGCTTCCTTAACTGAACAGAATTAAGGACTCTGAAGCCTGGAGTACTGTACATATTAAACACTCACATTCAAGTAAGATGTTGTTTGCTAAATTATGAATGTGTGTAATTAAAATCTAGTGGCTGTTTCTATGAAAGATTTACAATGTTATTTCATCGTTTGTCATGGCTAATTAACAATATTAGATGAAGTTTTTCTTCTTCAAAGGTCTGATTTTTTCTCATTTATTTATGTCAGAAGTGATAAACAGAGTAGTTAAAAGCTTCTCCGGGTACAGTAGTGAGAAAAGCAACATGTTCTTTTACACCTCCAAGGTTCAAGGTTCACATCCCTATGGAGTAAAGCAACTCCATCTTCTTTCTAGTGAGAATAATTAAAAATTTCAAAGTGCAGAAGTAGCAGCCTTAAATACAGCACAGAATAATTCCGAACATAACAAAGTATTGTGGGGCTTGATGGATGAATAAGAGACAATAAGTATAAAATACCATAAATTAAGCCAGTCGTATTGCCTTAATAGATGAGACAACCCTTGCATGAGGAAACAGAGCACAGTGCGGGGTTGTTTTTCATTACATCTAAGTGTGACGTGATCGTGTGGTGTGATTCTCACATGTTCTTTGCCTCGAAGAATTACCCAGGACTAACAGCCGCCAGCAGCCTTTGCTTTACCCACCGCTGAAATGCAGCCACTTCTGGGGTAAAACACGACCACGTGGACCAGGGTGACGCGGTAGCGTGGACCAGGAGACGCTGCGTACATATTTAATTGGGGCGGCAGGAGGGATTTAGGTAGGATGAAAGTAACCACTGGAGGCGGGAATCGACTGCAGCCCTGTGGTTAGCTCTAGCGCCTAAGCGTGCCTTGGGGTCTTTGATATGGGGCGGTGGGCTCGCTGGCTTGCCTTGATACCGGCTGACTGCGATCAGAAGTTGAAGTGTGTTGGGACAAGGAGCCCTGTAAATCCTCTGTTAATGCTTTGCTCTGTATTGACAAATGTGCATTTTTATTTTTTCTTTTTTTCTTTTCCAGCCCCAGCAACAGCAGGTGGCTACGCAGCAGTTGGCCTTTCAGCAGCAACTCTTACAGATGCAGCAGTTGCAACAGCAGCACCTCCTGTCTTTGCAGCGTCAGGGGCTGCTAACGATCCAGCCTGGCCAGCCGACTCTGCCTTTGCAACCCCTTGCACAAGGTAGGTGAGGGGTTTGGGAGCTGCCAGCTGTCTGGCAAAGCGACAGCATGCACGCACACAAAATTGTCCCTCAGTAAGAGAGAGAGAGAGAGAGAGATCTCATAGGCTCATAAAATAATAAGCACAGAAAAATCCTGACAGGCAGGGTGGGCATTATAAAGATATTTTTTTGAGAAGGGCAACGCTGAAATCATGGACCGCCCTGTCTAGCAGGAGGCAGGCGGTTTGGAGTTCGGAGTCAATTTGCACAGCTATAGCCGGTCTGGTGGACTCGAAGCTGCTGGTTGTACTAATCTGAGCTTGAAATCCTTCACAAGAGGCGTCTTAATCGATTCTTGGTGCTGGGTTCATGGCTAAGGGCAGTGTGAGAGCAGCTTTTCCTTTTTTAATGTGTTATTTGGGCCCTTTCTGGTTGCAGCCCGGCGAGGAGCCGGGCGCAGAGGAGCTCTGATCCGCACGCTGCCGAACTGTAGAAATTTGATTGCCCTTTGCTGGAGCGGAGCGGGAGAGGTGGCAGTGTCTCCTCTCCAAGCCTGTTTACATGGCCTTCGTTTCACTGCCTGTGTGCATCATAGCTTCATTCCTCCCTCCACACTGAGGCAAATTGGGATTAACTCCATTTAATTTTAATGGTGCTATTGACAATTAGATCCTCCTACATCTTTATTCAGTCCTGCACTCTGCAAGAAGTTACTGCTTTGCTGAAATCCCTATTTGTATTTTTTTTTTTTTTTTAAGATATTGATACATTGAAAGTTAATAACTACTTAAATCACAATACTTTCGACAGTGATTATAACCTGGGGTTTTTATTCTCTCTTTTCCTCTTTGGCTTGAATTGACTTCTTTTTTTTTAACCTGGGTTTGTCTGCAAGCCTTGGGACTTTTTAACAGGCTTGTCTGAGCTCTGGCTGCTGTGTTGAAGGCAGATTGTTCAAAGCTGGCATGGCTCGGGGAAGACCGGGTCTTTCAGCCATGATGCTGGTATTTCTGAATAATCATGCCTTTTCTTTCCCTTGCCCCATAATAAATTTAAACATCCACCTCAACAACCTGAGTCGGCTCAGGTTGAATGATTTGGGCTCTTCAAAGCGGCCTCAGGGCTGCTACTAGTCCCTAAACCAGATAATGAGTTTACATTCAGCTCTGTTCAGTTGAATGGGGGGGACGGGACAAAATTGCTTCTGTTCTTCACCCTCCTTTTTTGTGTGTAGCTGCAAAAGGAGAGCGAGGTGGCTGGTGAATATTAACTTACATGGATAAAGGGAGACAAACTTGGGAATTGGAGTCTGCTTTGCAGTGTGGCTGGCGTGGTTTATTTAGGCTTATTTTTGCCAGACACACAAAGGTATTTGAGCGCCTAACTCCTGTCTTGAGAGGCAAAGCTTCTGGGGACTTCACACCTCCCTCTGCAAGACTCGGTTTAGCTTTCCAGCATCCCAAGGCCGAACACCTGGTCTAGACTAGTCCTGTGTGTGAGTCGGAGGCTGATGCGCGGGAAGGTGGTGCCTGCTTGGGAGCTGCAGGATCAGGCCTGGGGTGGTAGTTGGTCGGGCACCGTCGATGCGTGGTGCGGAGGGGAGAAGGCATGAAACGAGTCCAGGAAAAAGGGCATGTAGACAAAATGCCATTTATACTTGCAAAATGTTGTAACATGCGTTAATTACACTTCAGATTTATTGTTGGAAGCATCCCAGGCTGTTCTCACACACCCACCGGACTCAAGCTTCAACCTTTCTAATTTTTCCCACAGCTCCTATACTATTAAGTTTGCTCGGTAAGGTTCATTGTATAGTACATCAGTTAAGCTGTCCAAAGGAGGGCAATTGGGCAGTGACAAGACACGCTCATGTGTAATGTGAAAGAAATGAATGTGGTGATGCATGAAGTGTAATCTGTGCGGTAACACATCGGAGACACCAGTAGGTAATTCAGCAGTCGTGGCATTGATTGATATGGTTAGCAGGGTAGTGTAACTATTAGTCCTTGCGGAGAAGCGTATTTAAAACGTAAGGGGTGCCGACTTGCACGCTGGAGACAACATAAACATAAGCAGAAAGGGCTGGTTCTTGCAGGGAAATGAGCTGCGAGCGCTGGGGGCGGCTGGAGCCGGGGGCTCGGCGGCGGGAGGAAAGAGTAACTTGAGAATTCAGGCAGGTTGCAATACAGCACGATATTTTATTTTTTTTTTTTATCAGAGAGACGATGGCTTAAAACTGATGTCATTATGAGGTTTAAATCAACTTTCTGCTTGCTTGAACATGGTCACCTGGGTATGGAGGTACAAGGACACAAAGAGGTTGAGCAACTCTGTTTGTCTTTGAGCCGGTGATACCTGGGGTTGGGAAATTGAGTTCTGTGAGCAGTAATCTGTCAACTGTCCCCACAACATACATTTTTTAAACCTGTGCCTACATTTTCTTTCATAATGAAGGGGACTAGTTGTCCTGAAAAACGCAATGAAGAGCCAGGGCTATAGTTTAAAATAATTGGTAATGCACACTTCTTATTTAAAAAAAAAATCACATATATTATGCCCTTTTGTTTTCAGAACAGTTTGCTAGACAGACAAATACTAGAAATGTGTGTATAAAAAAAAAAATCATCCCTCTAGTAAATGTAGCTATGAATTCGGTTAAAAGCATTTTGCTTTTATTCTTAAGTATCTGAAATAGTAATAAGTGTTTCTAAGGAGAGAATGCTACTTCATAAGTGATTTTTTTGTTATGTTTTTAGAACTAATACATTGTTTAAAGCCGTATTTTAGTTTTATTTTAGTTTTTAATGCTCGCCTATTGTCTTACACAAAACAGCACATCCTTTAATGTTATATTTGTGTAATCTTTTCTGCTTTGTATTTAGACACATCTATAATCTAGATTTTACATCTGTACATAGTAGCAGTTTAAAAATAAACCACATTTCAGCAGCGTTCTGAGCTGCGAGAGCTAGATCTTTAGTATCTGCAAAATGAAACTGCAAATCACACTTCAGATCACCAGTGAGTGAAAATAATAGGACTGAGACATCTGGGTGCCTGATTGCTCCCATAGATTTGGCAGTTTCAGGTCTCAATCCCGTTACCGGTACCTACGAAGTTGCAGCACCAGCAGTAGCGATCTCGGGTAATTGCAGCGCAGTTCTGGGAATCTGACTTAAAATTTAGCTCTCGCTGTTAAAATGAAACTGTTAAATGGTAAATTACATAATTTATTGCAAGTGTTCGTGGATCTATTTGACTTGCTTTTACCATTTGTTCTATTATTTTATTTAACCATTTTGCCGGATGAGTAATGAGCATACCTTCCAGCTGCCCAGTTTGACAGGCTAGTTAGGAATTCTTTCCAGAATTACTCTGAAAGAACTAAATTTGGGGAAGGAGGAGGAAGGGGTTTTTTTAGTTTTATTTTGATGTCAGCGATGTGGTCACTTTTAAGCCACGGGTTGTGTGCGGTCACGTATGACATCACACTTAACTGTAATTTAATGTCACCCAGCCTGAAATCCTCTTTATTATCTCCAGCATTTTTTTCACCCGCACAACTGGGTGTTTTTTATTTTTCTTTCAATAGTTGTCGTTGGCACTAATACGAGTTACACTTGTATAGGAAGTTAGACCAAACCCCTTGACTTTTAGAGGGTCTACAGCGAGATATATATATTATGTGTACATATATTTTAACGGCTGTAACACTTGCAGGCTTTTCCTTGGGATAAAGCATTAGCAGATCCAGAAGTGACCGGGAGGAGAGGGGAAGGGGAGAGGAGAAAGGGGGACGGGGAGAGAAGGGTGGGTGCTAGCCTGTCGCTTAATTAAAAACCTGCAGAAATCCAGATAAGGGGGTGGTGGCAGAAAAAAAAAAAGGGGGAAGAAAAAAAAAAAGGGCCAGTTAATGCTTATTCTGGAAAATAAAAATAGGTGTCGACTCGTATGGTCTCATATCAATATGTTATCATCAACAGACAAGTCTATTCACTATTGTTTCAATTGAGTAAACAGTGGTGTAAGGGTCAGCCGTGCTCACAGGTAATTGTTAGTGCGCAGACAGTCCTGTCAAGCGTGTTAGATAAAAATACATCCCACACTGTCACTTCGCAAGGTGTTTGAAAATAATAGCCCCGATACAGCAAAACAGGACATAGGCTTGTGTACTGACCTTTTTCTTTGTTTAATTTGCTCAGAGGTTTAATTTCAGGGGACAAGTAATAATTGAATACGTCTAATAACTAAATGCTCATTTGGGACAAAATCCATCAAAATATAATTGGCATTTGGGCCTGATGAAAGGAAAATGACGTGGCTTTAGAGAAACGGATGTGCCTTAAGAATATCTGATCACTTAATGTATAAATTGAAGCCTCTTTCATAATATATATTAATTGCAGATACTTAAGGATTTTAGCATTTTTTTGTAGTGAACCGTTACCGGAGACCAACTGTTTTTGTTAATGCTACTCTCGGAAAGGCGGGGAAGGTTATTGGTCTGTCGTGCAATAATTTACTCCTCTTTGATATGCAAACGATCCACGGTGAATATAAAAAAATCCTATCAGACTCATTTCACAGTTCTTAACCACTTAGATTCTCTGGAGTCTATCGCCTCATTAGACCAGTGCTCTCCAAAGCTAGCATAATTAAAATCTTTAACAGTTTAGCAAAGTAAAGATGTTTGGCTGATCACGTTGAGATGATTATCTATCCATTGTATTCTAAATGACAAAAATAAATTAAATTTAGACCTTGGCATTTTTTATTATGTGTTTCAAATGAATATAATGCATACTGCCTTTTTTTTTTTTTTTTTTTATTTCAATACCTTAGGTTTGGTGAGATACATGCCTGTGTGAGCTGCTGCTATACACTCAGAAAATGGCAGGTTTCCTTAGGATAGCTCCAGTGCCACAATACGCTGAAACAATGAACAGTCATCCAAATGATGATCTGGAAGCAGAGTGATGAGAAACCTCTTCAAAAACACACAGACACTGGCTTTTACTATTTTTTTTTTCCCCCGAATATTTAAGTGATGCATCTTTACTGCTAATTTTTTCCCATGGCCTTCTCTGAAAGAGCACTGAAATAGTCTTCAGTGAGAGAAACTTGACTTGTTTGATCATGTCACAAATATAAGCTTTATCCAAAAGCATGATCTCAGCGTGAGCCCGTGGCACGCTGACGCGCGCGGCCCCCTTCCAGCCTTCGGTTTGGCCCACTGGAGTTTGCAAAGTTCTCACTTGCCTTGTTCATTGAATGCGATGTCCTAAGCCTCGTGTCCATTTTGGCACAATTAAAAAAAACATTTAAAGTTTTTTTATTATTATTTCTTGAAGCTTATTTTATGTTTTCATCTTACTTTTGAATGGCTCATTAGCATGAGCCATACTAAGAAATGACAGTAATAATAGTGTTACTTGTATAGAAAGTTATACAGTTTTTCAGTAGACACATCCATCAATTAAGTGAGCAGTTCGAGAAACCAAAATTAATGAGAAAGATAGGTGTGTTAATGAAATAATCATAGTATAATCAATTTGACTGTTAAAATTTGAAAAGCATTTCAGGAAGACAATATGAATTCATAATTTATGTCTAAAAGTGATTAATAAAAACTGTATTTAATAACAAAGCTATTTGTCATCATTTAAAACTTAAGCACAAAATTAGTCATATTGTGGTTCATGTTGTCATAATAATAAAGCTGAGTATGTTTTTTTTTTCCTAAGACCTTCCTTTCTTTTTAAAACAGGTTAGAAAGTATTCGCTTTCCTTAAAAAAAAAAAAACCACCAAATAGTATATTTAAAAAAAAATAATAAAAATTTCTCCAGCTGTCTGCAGAGTAGCCCTTGGCCACCTTTGCTGTCAGCCTTGCTGTGAGCTCGGGGCAATTTCTTGCCTGAGCAGGGACTCTGGAAATGGGCCATCTGTAATTTTAATTACAAAGAATAATAACAGTTAACACGGAGTTTGGGGTGGGTGTCCTGTTGTGTGGACCCCCCTGCCCCACACCTGGATTTTGCCTTACATAGGTATTGCAGGTGTCACACCAGAAAATTTAGCAGAGACGTGCACTGTTCAGGTATGGCCTTTAGTTATTAAAAAAAAAAAATACATGCGCAAAAACACACACACACACACACACACAACTAACACTAGGCTTTGTTTACTGACTCTTTGATTTAATTACTGTTTGAAGACGGCCGAATTAGCTGTTAATTGATTTAATTATCCAATTTGTTTGTTTCAGGCATGATTCCAACAGAACTGCAGCAGCTCTGGAAGGAAGTGACAAGCTCGCACACAGCGGAGGAGGCAGCCAGCAACAACCACAGCAGCCTGGACCTGTCCACCACCTGCGTCTCCTCCTCCGCGCCGTCTAAGACCTCCTTAATCATCAACCCGCACGCCTCAACTAACGGACAGCTATCGGTCCACACTCCTAAACGGGAGAGGTAGGTGCCGGTGGGGTTTCCACCCGTGAGCGTCTCCAAACAGCGTGCCGAAACGATGGCGAAATCGGTGGGAGCGGTGGCCAACCGCCTTGGCCTCGGTTTCGTCCTCCACGTCTTGCTCTCTCTGATTTTGGCGTGGTTGAATAGAGTCTCCACTGGGCAGAATACGCTCCTTTTGTTCAGATCTTTATGGCTTGTTAATTGGATCAATGTGGGCACAATTAGCTAATTAGAAGTGCATTGGATAAGCGTATTGGGGGAAGTGTGAAGAGCGTAAGCTGGTTTTTTTGAGTTTTGCATCCTGGGTGGTGTTACTCTCGATGTGCTTTGGGTTTGCAGGCTGGAGGTGAGGAAAAAAAATCTGTTGGTCAGTACAGGCTGTTTCACCACCCGTTTTTCCGCCAAATTTCAGTGCCCCATCTCATCTTTTTTTACTTTTACGTTTGCCTTTTTTCACTCTGTATTTACCTGCTTTCACAAGACAGGATAGGCTTAAGTTCACCAGGTTTCTCTAAAACAAAGTGGATTTTTTTAAAGTGCTGATAAAATTAGGTAACTGGTGGTGTTTGGCTTTTAAAAGTGTGGGTTAATTTATACTTGCTAGGCTTGCGTTGTTAAAAGAAATGGCTTAAATCAGGGGTTGTCTGTTGACGTGCTTCTCGGCGCGGGCTCTGCTTTATTCCGACGAATGCTTTATTGCAGGTTTGTTTCTTTACACCCCCAGATTTCACTGAGGCGTGTCTAACAACATAACTTTCGCTTACGGTGAGATAGACAGTCCCAGGAGCTCGGGCCGTGGGTGCCAGCGCCTGCTGCAGCCTCGGCGCCGCTGCCGGCTGCGGAGGAGGAGGAGGAGAAGAAGGGTCTCCAGAGTGCGAGCAGCGTGGGCGCAGCGGGGAGGGCAGTGCTTCTTTGCATTCAGGAGAGTCCCTTTGCCCATCTAGAAATGTTATAGCAGACACTAGTGAAAGCTGGATTTTATGGAAACTGATGGCTTTGTCTTTCCATCCTCCTTTCATTCATTAGAAAGAGGATAATGGAATTTTTAAGCCATAGAGTTTATATTTCTGGTGGTCTGAAAGTAGATTGATAGGGAAGCTGTATAAATACCTCTTATATCTTTCTAATATTAAGAAAATAGTGCTGTGGGGAATAGATAGATTTTTTTAAAGGCGAGCACACCCACTGTTGAAAGAACTGCTGTGTGTGTAAGGCATCATTTTATATCCATTGCAAGGACATGTGGGGGAACATCAGCGTATACATTTATAATGCATGTAAGTGTCAAGGACATGATTTTCATGAAGACTTACATGGGATACTAAAAACAATTTGATGTTTATTAAACAATTAAATTCCCTTTTTGCTGCATATAGAGCTGAACAAGATGGGTTTATGACTTTTCAATAAATTTTTTATCTATGTTTTTCTTACCGAGTATATAAAACAAAAACCCATGCAGTGAAATGGATCTTCTTTCACTGAACAGTGCTGTCTGCTAGTGGCAATCTAACCGAGGAAACAGTACGCCATTGCTGTTAAGTTTGAAATGCAGTGGAAATACGGGAATCTGTTCCAAAGTAAGAATTTTCTCTGTGTATACTGTCAAGCAGAACTGGAAATCCATGTGTCCGAGTCCTGTAATTGTGGCTTGGAGGCAATTGGGATCTACAAACAAGGCGACACATATGTTTCTGTTAGTAAAGTTCCAAACAAATTAATTTGGAAGGCATAAACATGCCATGGTATTGTTTGAGACTGTAGAGGTTAGAAAACTTAAAATCCTTAGTGGTTGAGTTGATAGCTGTATTGTTAAAGCTTGCCGTAATACTTTCCTTACATATCTATTGAGTTCTTTACAATATCATAATACAAAAATAGGTATATTTAGGAATACAAATAAGAGAGCTACAGTCTTTGCTTTATCTTGTCTCTATTTGGTACGTGGAAGGTTTATGCCATCCATTTGCTGCAGTGATTGAATTACATCTTTATCCATAAGTAGAGCAGGAGACTACACACAGAAGAATGCCTACTGATGCACTTAAGGGTTTTGTTGCAGTCTCATCAGGCACCGTGGTGCCTGCCTGGATTTCATATGACACAGAAGCTCCTCTTGTTGAGATGTGTTGCGCTGGCTTCCTTTCTGAAAGGGTATTTATCTCCAGGCGGGGAGTTCGGGGTGGTGAATGAGCAGTGAGAAAAGAGTAGCTGTGCTCCGCAGTCAGATGTATATTTGAAAGCCCACAGAAGGTGAAATTTTAGCATACTTTTACAAAAGAGAGGGCACAGACATGAGCAGCGTTTTGGTCATTTTTTGATTGCAAAGGTTGAGACTAGAAATAATCACGGGTCTGGTGGGAGCATGACTTGGCTAGACTTGGAGACAAACGTATGCGTGTTCTTGTACCCAGCTGGTTCAGCACAGCAGCTGAGCTTGCAAATACAACTGGACTTGTGGTGGTGGTCCCGAGTCCAAGCTTGGGTCAGATGGGGCTGTTGGAGGGGCTCAGAAGGGAGCTGTCGGCCCTCTGCCTCCCATCACACAAGTCCGTGGCTTGGGCTGGCCAGGGCAGGTTTTTTGGGTTGTGGCTTCCCCCTTCTTGTTCCTGCACCTTTGGTGCAACTGGCTGTTAGCTTTGGTCTGATACAACAAAGAGCTATTTATTTAGATTTAAACAACAGTATAAAGCACATAGTAAAAGCTGTAAGTGTCCTAACGGTTAACCACAGCCACATCATAACGGCTGCCCAGCAGCAATAAATAATCATATACAGGTAACATTAACTTTTAGGGTGTGCTGTAAAGCTGTTTCACACCCCCCACCCCCCCTCTTCCTCTTGGGCTTTTGAGAAGGAGTGGGCTACAGGAGGCAGGTTGGTTATCGGGGAGTTACTATTGTCACTGTCATCTCTGGCACACGTCACTGGGGCAGGTCAGGCTGTGTTTTACGGGGTTCCTGATCCCACAGGTCAGGTTGCGAGGCTGCTCGAGACCCGTGAGACAGGAGGCACGTGGCTGACCGCAGCGGCAGCAGAGGCACCTGTGTAAAAGTCATCAGGCGAGCAGCAGCTCTGCTATACGTCTTGGGTAAAAACACATTTTGGTTATAAACAAGGGGTTTAAAATAGCAGGAGAAATGATCATTGGCTGCTCGGCATGCCCACGCATCGCCGTGCCACGGGCCCAGCCTCACGGCTGCGTACAGCAAAGGTTTAGTCCTGCGCAGGCTGCGGGGACGCAGCTCTGGTGTCACCGGTGACGCCGGCCACTGCGGGGCTGCCATGCTTGGAGGCGAGTGACCAAAAAAGTTCTCCTTTATGGCAAAAAAGCAAACGGCAGGCGGGTGGCCAGAGTCACCCTGGAATGTTCGAAAAGCAAAAATACATTCGAAAGCGGGAGGCATCCTCCGCTGCTGGGCACAGGCCAGAGAAGCATCGTGGGGCTGCTCTTGGTTTCTGTGTGCTCTGTGTGTATGGCTTTCACAGGAATGAAACAATTCCAGCTATAAATAATGGGTTAATGCTTTTCATTCATTTGGGCTGTAAATGTATATTACATCTATGCTTTTGTCCCACATTTCGCCCGGTTTCTGTAAGTAGCAGCAGCAGCAGCAGCTCTGGGGTTTGGTGCACAGCAATCTGTTAAGGAGATAAATAATCTGCTTTGGCATGACACTCCTACTCTCCTCTTTAATTTGTCTTACACAAGGAAAATTATAATTAAATCATTCAGGGTAAACCCTTGAGTGTAGAGAAGGAAAAAACACACTTTGGTAAAGATTGCCAATAGAGACCAACTTCCCTGTTGTGCCGTGCAGAGACATTTATCAATATTCAGCACTATTAAAGAGAGAACATTTCGTGTGATTTGTGAGGCGGATGCCAAAGCTCAAATCAAGGCTTGTTAAGATCCTTTCCCCATGCAATCATGGGCATTCAGCATCATTAGAATTCAGGACTGACTGTGTGTTTCATGCTTTGATTTTACTCAGACAATTTAATAATGTTTATTGTGCTGATTATATATATAAATTCACTCAATGCAATAAACATACCTCAGTCATCAGTACCCTAAGGGAAATATTTAGTTATAGATACTTGTATTCACTCAGGATAAGCAAAAGTGAGACCATCAACCAGCATGCAAACCTCTCATCATCTTATCAGCATCTGGGTTTCTTCGGTAACAAGCATTTTCTCTACACAAGTAAATAAATAAATAACGAGAGCCAGTTAAGTACATCTGCTGTGCTTAGAAATGTCAGGGACAGTACCCGCTTTCCATCTCGTTCCACTGCATCTTATTTGGGGGAAGCTCGATTATTTTCTTAAGAAAAACAGCAAAACAAAGCAGGTGGATGCCCGGTCACTTTAGGTGACGACTAACTTTATAACCTGATGAGCAGTGGGCATCCCGAAAAGTACGTGTTTGGGAATATTCCCAGTGTGGGTAGGTTTGGAAAAGCAGAACGGTGCAGAATTCATCAGCGCTTTGCGGCGAGCGGAGGTTGCTCCAGCTTGGGCTTGAAGGTCCGGGGGTGCTGTGGAGTGGTGCGGGCACCTGTGTGCTGGTCCCATCCCCTGGCGCCGTTCTGCATTGACTGCAGCAGCGACAGGATGATGGAGGCTGTGCGTAAACAAGTGAGTTAATGAAGGTCCAGAACTGTTAATTTAGGAAATGCATTTGTTTGCAAGAGGTAAGGTGAAGAGTTGGAGGTGAAGGCTGCATGTCCAAGAGACCTTTTTCCATCTGCCAGCAATCCCATGTTTGTCCCCTGTTGTCTTCATACCCTTTCCAACCACGCTTGAGTCTTGCCCTTCCACGTAAGCACGCAGCCATCTCATAGGAAAAATAGATGGGCTAAACAAGGGGATTTTTAAATGACTTTTTCTTGCCAGCGTCGCGGGAGGAAGGAATCTGGAGAAGGCTCTGAAGGGAAGTGAGAGGAACGGCGTGGCAGACCATTGATCTGCTGGTTAGGCTTAATGCACTGTGT